TACAAAAACTCACCCATTTTTATGTTTTCCCTGGGTATGATAAGAATAAGGGCCCAAATAGAGACCTGTGGGAGCGTCAATGTCTATTTCTGTGCTTCATGGATCTGTGTCTTCACTGGTCATATCTGGTGGAAGGCCCCAAAGGACGGATAACTTATCAAGGTGAAAAGGGCAAGCGAACCAAATTATCTGGGGGCTTGGAGGACTAAATTTGCTAGAGAAGGGACATGTAACCCAATATAATTCATTTTCTTGATGCTGGCAAAAAGACATCAGGTTAGATTTCAGGAAAGACCTGGGGTTTAAGGCTATATGGCCAGGACAGAGAACCAATGGGGAAAGACCCAGGAGCATTAATCACCCTTTGGTTTGTTGTTCAACTGCTCCATCCACAAAAGCCCCTGGGCCCCAAATAAAAAAATAAGCACCCCAAAGCTTGAAAAAACAAAATCTCAGAAATCTAGGCCTAAGAAAATTAAAACATTGTCTTTGATAACCAAGGCTGCCCCAGTGAATTTGTTTACCTTCCAATTCAGGCCTCTTTAATCTGCTAAGATCTCCTTATTTTTTCTAAATGCCTCAAAGACAAGACTGTCTTGGTGGCTCTGTCTGAATACAAAACACCCTACTATAAGGGGATTGCAATAAAAGGAAGTTATACCAGCTCTCCTGGCCTGCAGTTATGCAGATGGCGACATTCAGGCATAGGAAGACTTACCCTATAGTCTGTAACAGAAACGCATCTGCATGGGTCAACTCCCACCTAATTATGTTGACCTCTGCAATAAAATACCAGGATCAGGATATTTAATCCCACCAGATGATGCCTGGGGGCCTATACCACAGGTTTAACCTCCTGCATACACGCCCAAGTGTTAAATGATACTCAGGGTTTCTGTGTCTTGGAGAAGCTGGTCCCCAGGATAGCATATTTCCCTGAGGAAGAGATTCTCCATCAGTTGAAACCAGTATGTTGGGCCAACGGGAGGTTTTCACAGCTGTCCTAATACCCTTCCTCATAGGTTTGGGCATAGCAGGGGCCATAGGCACTGGGACCTCAGCCCTCATCGTCCAAGACCAACATTATAGGAGTCTGAGTGCAACCATAGATACAGACATAGCCACGCTAGAAAAATCCATCACTCATCTGTAGGAATCACTCTCCTCTTTAGCTGAGGTAGTCCTCCAAAATAGAAGGGGGCTAGACTTACTGTTCCTTCAACAAGGGGGTCTATGTTTGACTCTGGGAGAACAATGCTATTTTTATGCTAATCATTCAAGAGTTATAAAAGACTCCATGAATCTAAACAGAAAAAGGCTTCATGGTAGAAAACTGGAAAAAGAACAAATGAAGGATGATATGAATCATCATTCAATTGGTCACCCAGGTTAACTACTCTCCTTCAGCCCTGGCTGGGTTCTTGATCTTCTTACTTTTGGCCTTGACCTTTGGACCTTGCATTATTAATGCCCTAGTCAGGTTTATAAAGGAGAAGATCTCCATGGTCCAGGTAATGGTTCTGAGACAGTAGTAACCACCTGTAGATCCAGAGGATGCATCTCCAGGTTTTGAGATGGCCCACTACTCAAGGGGGTAATGAGAAGATTGGTAGCCAATCTAGGTCCATGACAGGCTCACCTAGCAGTCCTGACATGACCTGGACCTTAGTATCTTTCACTAGAACGCGCTGGAAAAAAGCAAGCAGTTCCCAGGAAAACCACATCTTAGGAGCAACCAATCAACAGGCACCCACCTGTCTCCTTCTGGCTTACCAGGCATCCCATAGTCCCTTCTGCTGGCTCACCAGGCATCCCAAGCACCTTCTGCTGGCTTAGCAGATGCCCCTCAGACTTCTGATAGCTAAAGATAGCTTTTACTACCTTCTAGTAAACAAGGTCCTAGACACTAGACCCACCAACAACAACAACAGGCCCCCAACCACTAGTGCCTCCCACCAATCAGTCCCGAGACTAAACTGTCCTCCGGCAATCATCACCAGATTAATCTCTCCTCCCTAGAATTCCCCTAACTCTGCTTAAAACGAACTTGTAACCTTCTTTGTGGGTCACTATTTGCCACCCAATCATGTTGGAGATAAATGCTCTTGCTATATTGCACATGTGAGTGTTGGTCTTTCATTGGGGCCTCTCTTGGACCCTAGTACTTCTAGTTATAATATATGTATACATGAGTGACTGAAATGAGTGGCTTGTATTGTAAACTGGAAATGGGATTTTCAAGCCCTGCTCTGATCATCCCCAATTTGCATATCCTATCCTCCAGTGTCAGGATTATTAAGCAACACTCTGATGTATCCCTTTTAGAAAGAAATATTCATGATTCATATGTACCATAAACAATTGCACATTTGTTTGTATGACTTTTTATGTGTTTCCACACATGTCTGCATCTGTTTGACATTAATTGTGGTTTCGCAGTGAAAATTCATACTCAAAAAATTTTCTGCACAGTATTATGTGGTTATTGAAATTTTGAATAAATTCAGTACATTCTCTTCACTAGATTTAGTCTTCAACTACTACTCCATTCTTTGACCATGAACTTGCTCTATTTTTTGTGACATCTGCATTCTTGTAAAGCACCTGAGTATGCATGGGTATGAGACCAACTACTAGCCTGTGGGCAGCCTCTCAGGGCCAGAACACTTGAGAAATCTACCTTTCCACTTTTATCAGCTTACTAAATAACATAAGCCATTCATAACTTTTGGGCTTCATTTATTCTATCCAATCCAACTAATCCACTATGTCAGTGTTCAATATCAAATATGTTAACCATAATTCAAAGGTCCACCATTCACATAAAAAAATTAGCATGTTTTCCCTCAACATCTTTTTCTCTCAAATTCATAATCTGTAGACAAGCAAACAGTGGCTCAATAGTTTACTTCATTTATGGAGATCCTATTGATACTTGGATGCTCATCTTGTTTATGTCACAGCAGCTAGAAAATGAAAACAAAATTGCAAATGCTCAGTGGCTAAATTTAGCTATTTACAGTGCATGAGCTAGCATCTGCTTGCGGGAAAATAAAAAGAATTGATCAGAGGCATGACTGCTTACACTGGCTATACCCAGATATATCAAGGAAAACCAGTGCTCTGTTACTCAACCCAAGAAAAGAACTGCTTCCATGGACTCCATTCCCAGGCACATGCCTCCTCCCTTGATTATTCAACAGAAATATCTGCACAGCCATACTAGATCAAAACTCATTACTTGATTGAAGCAGAATCTTCCTACTCAGCCTTATTCCTGCTGGAGGTAGAAACTGACTTAGGGCCCAACTATACCATTCATGGAGGTATAGGTCTCCTCACTCAGATGGGACCCACAAGAATGAATGGGGTTACAGCCACATCCAAGTCTTTCTCCATAACCATCACTTGTTATATTAACTTGTGTGGAGGTCTTCTAAAATCTGGAAGTAAGTCCCCAAAAAGGTTACTTAAGGGAATTTGTTCATTTGGATAAAACATGAGATCATTTCCTGGGAAGGACAGAAGATTGATCCCTTGTTATAGTCAAATTAACAAGGTTTTCCAGTAGTATTTAGGGATTAAAGGGCCCCAATCTAAGATGCTGCTAAGTGAACTTTGGGATAGCTGTTTCAAGAGGTCCCTGGGTCCTCCCATTTACCCTATCATTTTGTTTTAAACACCAGCCCTTGGCCTTCTATTCATTTCTCCTAGAAATGTCTTCTATGAATAAAGTATCAGCCATACTTGCGAGCTCAATTGTGCTTTAACTATCTATCTACGTCTCTGCAAGTCTCCATAATTCTGCCATCTGAAATATATATCATTCAGTAGAAAAGAAAGACAATGAAAGTAGGAAGTGGAACATGGGAGGAATTAAGAGCAGAAAAATATATGGTATTGGTATGAAATATAGGTTTATAGAGCTTGCATGGCATTTGCAGAGTGAACTTATAGAAAATCCTGCATAAAACCTGCCATGAAGAGAGGGCATATGGAGTTCCTATTACATGCTGAAGAATATTTATAAAGGATACATGCAGTGGATTGAGGGTCTACCTTCTTGGGACTATTGTTTGTATAATTCTAATATCCCAGTGAATGACCCAAAGCCTGTTTGCTTGTGAGAAGCCTTAATTGTACTCAGTGGGCTTTAAATAAATAAATAAAAAGATAGATAGATAGATAGATAGATAGATAGATAGATAGATAGATAGATAGATAGATAGAAGCTTGAAGTTCAAGGAAGTAATTTCTATGGTGTCGTCATGATTTATTGGGATGGGGCAGCAGATCTAGATTTATGGAAGACTGGTGTGTCAGCATATGTGAAAAAATTTTCCACCCAAATATGATAAAATATTTGGAGAGGACAGTAGAGGTTCATCCTATTAGAATACACATTCTATGAGTTCTGTTTCTCTAAAGAATCCTAAAAAACAAATA